AGAGGTTCTGACCTTATGGCTTCCTCGAGCTACACCCCAAAGTAAATTAGAGGGAGACAGCTCGAAGCTACTAGAAGCGCCCATAACTGCAATAAGCACCAGTCTAGGTGCAAGATTCTCAACTGCCCAAAACCTTCTCCTGAAATCAAGTGAGATGTTACGGAGCGGAGGCGAAGATCTCGCTTCAAATCCCATAAATTTTGGAGTTGGGCTATAAATACTGTACATAATCCTCATTACAGGACAGAGAACCCAAGGTTGTATGAAAAGCACTGTGTAATCACCTTAAAACTATCAATATAGATCCCAGGAGCAAGAAACTGAAATTAAAGAGTGGATTATCCGAGTTTTCGAGCTGATGAACCACTATAATTTCACTGTGTGAATCATCTCCTATATCATTATACTATTTTCACAAGTGTAGTACCTCAAATCCAACCTCACTTTTATACATATTAACATTCTGCTCATCAACATTCGACACACCATCAAAACTTTAATTCTTTTTTTACTCTATTTTTTTAATATTAGTCTCAAAATACTTGAATGAATCACATACATTAGATTTTTTTTAAAAAAAATACATACACATGGGTCTTTTTATATAGTTCAAGCCAAAAACTCTTAGCAACTGCTAGGTGACTTGATCCGAAATATGTACACCCAAGTGCAGGCGGTCAAGCTGTAGTAATAACCCGGTGAAGTCCGGAGTCGAATCCACAGGGAGCTATGATTGGTGTTTTGAAGTAAGCAGTAATAAAGACCAAGTAACTTTTGGAAATTTCGCGTGTTTGGACTGGTGGGATTTTCTTGATTAGAAAAGAAGATTCTTTACAAGAATTTTCTAGACAAAATATAAGATTCTCAAAATGTAACAACCACCCTTTAGCTCGAGGATTAGAACATGTAATTGATTATCCAGTTTATTATGTTTGTTCTTTATGACTTAATTAACTCCTGTGTCAACAGCAAGTTAATCGGAGGATAAAGATGGACTGTAAGGATTAAGCACATAATTTCGATGCATTTCTAGAAGTTTACAAGAATTGTCTGTGCCGAGACTTAACCCGTCTACAAACAAGCAAGTTTTTCTACAAGGCCTCCAACCATGGCATTAATGGTCCATTCTATGAATAAAGCGCAATAATATTGGAGATTGAAAAGATGTCATGAAGAGCTAGCCGGGGTGCTTGCCTTGAACCACTGGGTCTTTCTATGTAGGAGTCATCCGTATCATAGAAGGAACCTTTGGTTATACAAAGTATCTTAACTTTTCTAAATGCATTCAATCATCCAATGAACAAGTGGAATATAAAGCATTAAAGCATGAAGAAGTTGCACAAACATAACTTTTGGATAATCTTTACATATTCATCACCTCTTACTAAAGAGTGAATGAGGAACTACTCATTCGTCATGGCATTGGTCATGCTAGACAAGTGAGTGATACTCATCCCTCCAATTGGAGACACTACTAAGTAAAGTAAACTAAACAAAGAGCTTTTCTTTAATGAAGAATAAGTGAATCACTTTCCACCCTTCTCGGCTTTGGTAAAACTCTAGAAAAGTGAAAGAGTTTCACTCTTCTAAGAAAGAAGGATGGTCAAGTAATAGAAGTGAAATACATGAACAAGAAAAGTAGAAGAAAGCTAGTTGCTTTTGGAGGGTTTCCACCACAACCAAAACATGAACTACCTCTTTTGATACTTTGTAAGTAAAAGCAAGTATAACTACAAGGGGAGTCTAAGCCTCCATCTTGGTTGTCACAACATGAATGTAAAGACTTAACATAAGTAAATGAAAGACTTTAACTACGAGGGGAGTCTAAGCCTCTAACATGGTTGATATAAATGGAAAATAAAAGCATAAACATGACGTATTCAAGAACTAGATTACTAAACATTCTTACAAGAATAAAGATTGCTCTCCCATTTACTCTACAAGAGGAAGAATGTATTTTAAGCTCCCAACAAGGGAGTATTTATAGACAAAGAAGGGAAGGGGGGTAGGAGATAGGTGAGGATGAGTGAATAGTATTTGCTGCCCATGGGTGTCAACTATTCTGCAGGTAGTCTGCAGGGGACATTCGAACGTGATCTGGCGTTCGAACATCAAGTCTGCCTTTGTTTGAGGGCGTTCAAACGTCAAGTCTTTCTTCCACTCAAGTGGCTTGTGATCACTGACTTGGTCACTTCCATACGCCTTGAACATCATTAACTATGCACTCAACAACTCCTTAGTCACTCAAGACAACGTTCGAACGTGTAGTGACGTTCGAACGTTGTACTTAAGTACTTCTGGTTCTTCTTTCTTACAGCAACATGCCAGGTTCCAGTGGTGTAGTTTTTTTCAAGATTCCAGAGGACGTTCGAACGTGGTATTCAAGTACCTCAGCATTTCCCTTTGTTGACTGCAACACGTCATGTCTCAGCAGCTGGTCTTGGCAGGGTTTCAGATGACGTTCAAACGTGGGTTGACGTTCGAACGTCCTTACTTTGTTCCATCATTTTGCATTTTTGCTCCTTTTTGTGCTGGTGTTACATTCAAGAGTTATTTTTGTTGTTCTTGAGCCTTTGTTCACTTTAGGACCTGAAATGTCACTGCTTAAACTCCATCAAAGCACAATTAGTCCAAAAAGGCATAGTAAAATTTATTAACTTTACGCACGAATCACTAGGTGATATCTAAATGTAGCCACCATCCCCAAACAATTAAGCTGCAAAAGTGCATCGAAAATCAATATGCAAAGTATGTCACCACATTCTTAAATGAGCTGATGTTGTCTATTACTAAACGCCATCAATCGCCACCAACATCATCTTTGTCCCCAACCACCATCATCGTCACCTTCACCCTTCGCCACTAGCATGACCACCACCTCCATCTCAACTGCCAATTCCTACGTCTGAGTCTAAGCTTGAGGTCTCAAATTATGGATACAAATTTTGAGTCTAGATTTCGCGTCTTCTTATGGGTCTCGTGTCTTGGGTCTTAGAGTCCTGAATATGAGCATTGGATCTAGGATTGGGTTCGGGGTCCTAAATCCGAATCCAAGGTCAAGTGTCCAAATTTGGAATATAAGGTCAAGGGTCTCAAATCCTGGAGTTTGGATATTTGAAATAGTTATCATTATTTTACCTCAATTAAAGTAAATTTTATTTTGAGTAAAAATTTGATTTGTGTAAACATTGAAATGAATTGTCCATTATATTTTCACCACTTAATTTTAGTTATTGCTAGACATTAAAATGATAATATACATTTTACTTTATTTTTAAGTTCACTGAATTACCATGTTCATTCCATTGTGATTTTTTTTTTTTAAAAAAAAAAAGAGCAATGCTATTGGGACCTAATTTATTAAACTAATTTGCTGACCTAATTCACAATAACTTTTGAATTAATTGTAGGCTCCATCAAATATTGGAACTTGATGTTAATCAAATAAGTCCAATAAAATTACATCATTATACCAGGAAATTAGGTCAAATTTTTAAGTTTAAATATCATTAAAAAAAAAAAGTTGATCATACTAAACATAACGAGAAATTAGGTGGATAAGAATTCTCCAAGCATTTGTCACATGATTGTTATATGGTCCCTTCAATAGGGGTGTCCATAGGCCAGGTTACCCATGGGTCTTGTTACTCGGCCCGAAAAAAATAGGCCTGAAGCCCGATAGTTGGTCCACCCGAGCCCGAGCCCAATATTTTTAAAAGGAGGGCTTGAGTTTATCCCCAAACCCATTACCCGTCTTGAAGTCTGGCCCAAGAGCCTGCCCATCAAGCCCGCCCTCAAGCCCAACCCACCCACCCACTCTTTGAAAAAAAGTTATATTTTTAGACCATTAAATTTAAAACTTTGAAAGAAGTCTCCCAATATCAAAATTTGAAGTTTTAAAAAATTAGATATTATAAATAATGAATTATTTTTTTTTCCATATATTAAACATATAAGTTTTAAATGATAGAGTAATGCAAACGACTCATAAGTTAGTAAATGTCACTGTCAACCTAGTTGAGATTTATTCATTCTATTGGATGTAGTTCATTATTTTATTTTAATTCATTTTGATTTTATTTTTGATTCAAAAATATAATTTATATAAATGTTAAGTTATAAAAATATTAATTATTTTAAATAAATATGTATATAAAAAAGTCCGCAAGCAGGCCCGTCCAACAAACCCGCCCAATAGGCTCACGGGTTGATGTAACTGATGCTCAATACTTTAAGTATTTTTATGCATTTGAGATTAACAACGTAGCATCTATTCCTTAGAAAGTATGGTTGAGTACACTTCAGCATTACCAATAAAATCTTTGTATGTTGGACTATGACTTTTCAATTAAATTATATTTAACTTGATTATTCTTAATGAAATTTATTAATTCCTTTGAATTATAATAAGATTTCAACAATGCATTGATACAATCTCATCATCAATGAAATAATAGATGACCAAATAAGAAAATCATATGTTTGTCTTGGGCGAGATCTCTCAGCTTTAAATTTTTTTTAATTTTAATTCAATAGATTTATTCATCTTCAGTTCCAATCAACTGAGCTATGTGAATCCAACAGTACTAAATGAAAAAAGATACCTTGGCTTAAATAGTATTTCAGTGAATATGATTCGATAATATTGTACTATTATGTGTCAGACTTTTCTTTGAAAACATGCGAATTGATTTATCTCAAAATCAGTACATTACAGTTGATTATTAGGTGCCAATAGTGTCAATGTTAACATATAGATGAAAATTTGTAAAATTGAAAATCCATAGAATCAAAATCCCACGTGTTGAACTCTGCCGTCTTCTACTCTTTTGATTAGCCTGTGCATGCTCGATATGTTACACAAATCTGCAAGCTCCTGTACACTTTTACTCATCTATAAAATGCCTAGCTAGCTCTCTTCTCATGCCATTACCCCTCTTTATTTCTCTTACCTTACCTTCCCACAACTCTCTTCCCTACCAATCTCCTTATTTGTTCTCATGGCTTCCATTGTTGATCCTTTGGTTGTTGGTCGGGTCATCGGCGACGTGGTGGACATGTTTGTCCCCACGGTGACCATGTCAGTTCGCTACGGCTCAAAACATATAGCCAACGGCTGTGAAATCAAACCCTCCATGGCAGCTGAGCCTCCCAGGGTCACCATCAACGGCCACCCCAATGAACTTTATACTCTGGTTCAGTTCCTTCATGATCATTTTTTTGCTTTAAAATGGACAACTCTTGCTGAAAAATAAAATTGTGGTTGGGTTGAGAGTTTTTTTTTTTTTGTTTTCTGTATATTAATTCGCCTGCAAATGCATGTCCTATTGTTTAGAAGATTTTTCCTTTTTTATTTTTTTGGTTTTGTTTTTGTGGGTGTTGTAGGTGATGACAGATCCTGATGCACCAAGCCCAAGTGAGCCCTCAATGAGAGAGTATGTTCAGTGGTTAGTCTCGTTTCCAAGAATAATTATCTTATATATTTTTGTTCGTCCATGTGTGTCCACACAAACTGAATTGGCTAATTTTTTTCATGTGAAAATCTCAGGATTGTGACAGATATACCAGGTGGCGGCACTCCTACTCATGGTAAAATACTGCTTTGTTCTCCAAATATAGTCAAGATACATACAGATTTTTCCTTTAAATATACCCAATTCAGGAAATTTTGTGAAAATCGAAAGACACTGCTTATTATTGTGACGATTTGTTTTATCCATCCGTCGCTGCCCCTCTCTCCCTCTCCACCCCCCCCCCCCCCCCTTCTCCTCCCTCCACCCCACGCTCCTCCTCCTCCTGGTTGCGTGCATGCATGCATGCAAGGCGAGTTGACCAGCATCTTTGTATTATGAAACTTATATCTAATTTTGAGAGAGTGTTCCTAAATTTCCTATCATACCTAGGAGGTACTTTATCCGTTCAATCATTAAAACTTCTGCGTATACCTATTCTGTTTTCATGGTAGACTCCTGTTACTACGAAATCTACAGACAGAATAAACAATTAAGCATGAAAAAAAAGTAATTTTTACAATTCGAACCCTTAACAAATATATCACAGGAATAGCTATCAAACCCTAAAACATCAACCCTAAGATTTCCAAGCAGCTGCATGCTGTGCAGCGCATCAGTTCACGGGAACGGGACACTGTGCCATGGTCCAACTGTCGTAGTGGCCTTCGCTTATACAGGACACGTGTCGCACTGGTGCAACTGTCGTAGTGGCCTTCGCTTGTACAGGACACGTGTCGTACATGAAGGCCCTATTTGCAGATTTTAGTGATCCGTTTAGTCTACTCCTCCCACCTCTGTTGGTGACATCTGGCTTACCCCTCCCTTACATGTATCGACTGTTAAATAATGTTACAATGATCAAATTTTAAAATTAAATTTAGAGTTTAAATGATATGATAATATATTATTTAAAGTTTTTATTAGGGTTTAAATAACATTACCCAAAGTCATACTAACTATTAGGGTTTAAGTCAATTGTTATGTCATTTAAATATTAACTTTAATCCTAAAATTTAATCAATGTAATATTGGTGTGACTGTTAAACTTTGGGCTCATTTCACTTGTTACCCAAAGTCATAGTTACGGAAAAAAAAAAAAAGTCGGCCGTGACACGGTCTTGCCACTTGTCATGGTCTGTGCCATTTCTCCCTTACACTTGGCATTGCCAGGAATGATCACGTGCCATTTATATAGGGTGACACTTGGCTCACTCCAAATCATTTCCCTGCAGCTATTTGAGATGCCGTTTAACGTTCCCAAAGTGTAAGAAGGAGTTAAATCGGAGTGTAATGATATCAGACTTTCCAATATTAGAATCCGATATCACTAGTTTTTAATATTTCTTCCCATGGTTATCGTATGCATGTTAAAATAGTAAGATGAAAACATGTAGAAAACATAAAAGAGATGTAAAAAAAAAAAAAGAGATCAAAAGAGAGAAACTTTTATTACTTACACGTGTAACTACATGTGGTTTTGTATAATTTGGGAGGAGTTACTGATTGTCAAAACAGTAGAAACGAGGGATATTATAAAATATTCCAGCGCAATGAACCCCTTTTTTCTCATTTTTATTTATTACTATAGTAGTATATGATGATACACAAAATAGAATTATATACAATTAACAATTATGTGTATAATATAGAATAATCAATAAAGTAACTAATAACAAGAGGTTAAGATTGAATCAACACAAGTAACACATAAATGTATAGTGGTTCGATCAATATGATTTACTCCATTCCAAAAGAAGCGACGATAGCCGAAGAATTTTATTAATAAAGGAGATGGTGAGGGAGAGAGCAAGGGTAAACTCTAGGATATGTTGAATAGTTATCAGAGAGATAATTGTATAAAAGGTGTGTAGAGAGATATTATTCTCATGTAAAAAGAACTTACAATTTATATGCACATAGCATTGGTTGAGGCGGTGACGTGATTGATAAGTCACTAGTTCTTCAAGGTGGATAAGTATAACTAGTGTAAATACAATCAGAGATAGTCTTAATCTTCGAGAATATTATCTCAATAATTATTTTTCGCGTGCTTCTATATTCTCCGATCCCTTGAACTTTGGTCTGAGCCGAATTTATAAACTGTGTTTGACCTTTCTTGTAATTAATTTGAGTTTACTTAATTAATTGGACCTAACTCAATCAAATCTGGGCTGGTCAATATATTATACTAAAACAATGCAGGAAAAAAATGGAAAGACAGATGGTGTATTAGGCCTTAGTATTAGGGCTTAGTTTATTTATTTATTTTGAGTGAAATAGCTTCTTGCAGGCAAAGAAGGGCTGCCGTACATGGGCCCAAGGCCGCCGGTGGGGATTCACCGATACATCTTCGTCCTCTTTCAACAGAAGGCTCCTCTTGGCCTTTTTGATCAGCCCGCATCGCGGGCCAACTTTAATACCCGCGGATTCGCCCATCATCTCGACCTGGGCTTGCCGGTGGCCACCGTTTATTTTAACGCTCAGAGGGAACCGCTCAACAGGCGGCGTTGAAGAATTCAGTGGTGGGGGAGGGCAGTCACCGCCGCCGCCGCCACCACCATATCTGGTATCTACCGGTGGTGAACTTCGTTCAAGTGTGTGTTTTATTTATTTGTTTTGCTCTGTGTGGGAGGTTTACGAGTTGGGTGGTGTTTGGTGGTCTCTTACATGAGTTTGTAAAGCAACTGTAAGTGCTAACTTTCAAAGAAGAGTTTCTGTTTGTGTTATTTTTTTTGGTGTCTTCGTTCTGTGTCTAAGTATCTGTATCGTATATATGAATAAATTATAGTTTCACCACTAGACTATGAACTCAATTTTATTTTGCCCCTTGAATTATTGAATTACTTACATTGTTCATTTAACTACCTGAATTATTTCACATTGCTTCAATTGCTGCTGTCTGATATTTTTTGGATGAAAATTGTCAACGTATCAAAACAAAGTAGAAAACATTACATAGTTTGAGAACAAAATAAAATTACTTTCTGTTAACTACGTGACAGATGTTAATAATTGAGATAAAGTGAAATTAATCAAATGGTTTAGGGTGCAATGTAAAAGACTTGATAGTTGAGAGAATACTATAGAAAATAATGTTAAGGGCCCATAATATAGTGGATAAATGCGCCCTTAAAAATGCGCACCTTTCGTCCCAAAAAAAAAAAAAATGCAGAAGCATTAAAAAAAAAACCATTTACATGATGTATGTTTCTTAATTAGTTCATGGTTTTGAGTGGATCTATTTTAGGAATTTGATTCAAGAACTTATTTAGCAATTAAATTAGCTGTGAGATTTAAAGTTGGATGATGCCTACTTTTAATCCAACAAGTATTAATAACATTTATCTATTGTTTTTCTTTTTGTTAAGTGTTTTCTTAGTTAGTGTTGTCTTTTTTTGGGTAAAAAGTTAAAACAGAAAACTTATTTGGTTGTAATTTTTGTTTAAAAATTTCTGAAAACTAAAACAAAAAACATACTTCGATCAAGTTTTGTCATTTCAGTAGCTTTATATTAATTCCTTGCTAAAAAACAAATCAAAAATTTTTATGTTAATATATTCCTTCCTAAATAAGACACAAAGGAAAATAGTACAATGACACATTAAATATACTAATATATCCCATTGTTCAACATTCTACCAAGTACATGTCATAGTAAGACATAATCACTTAACTAAAATCCCAACAAGTAGTACAAATACTTATATATATATATATATATATATATATATATATATATAGTTACTTGCAGAAGTAACCCTTAACCTTCAGAAAATAAAACCTTCAAAAGGTAATAAGTATTATTGGATCAAAAGCTTGTTGATGTAGTAGTGTACAATACAAGATCAAATTGAAACCACAAAACGTAAGTTTGAAAATTGTGATCTATTCTTCTATCTCCCTCCTAACTGGGCATATGGAATGACATTATGTTCATCTCTCAATGCATTATACTTGACGAGCCTAGATCCAATTGGGCTTGGGCCTGATACATGGATTAAGCTTAAATCATCCAAGTTTAGCTCATGGCCTCAGTCCAGTCTAAAACTCAAGAGTCCATGAAGAGTCAACCCATGTGGGAGAGCAATAATCGGGATATTCATTACTCTGAGATAGTTTTTATCCCTAGTTATAATTATCCTCCCCAGTAAATTAGTTGCTTTGTTTTCACGTCACTGCCACTGTTAGGGTTTTGTGTCTATAATTGTCAACCCCTTATATAGGGGACACAGACGACACCTTGAACATACTTTTACTCTCTCTCTCTCTCTCTCTCTCCCCTACTAATTTATACTCTCCCATTAATAGAGTTCTTCGGCTACTATTGCCACCTTCAATGGTTAGGTCACCCAAACCCAACCACCCAATTTTTGTCTCTTATTATTAATTATTTCATTAATTGTCTTGCACCACACACTTGACTGATTTGATTGCGCATAATCAATTTTCACTACAACAATTATGGGCTTTAGTGACCAAGTTATTTTTGTCATCAATGATATTTTTTAGCGATGACATGTGACTTTGTCACTAATGGTCCAGGATGAGTGGCACAACACTATTTGTCACAAAAACATTAACTTTTAGTGATGAATAATTTTCCTCATCGTAACTTCGTCATTAAAAGTATGAGAAATTGGATAGATGGTGATGAATTTTATTTTCATCGCTCAAAATAAAAAAAATTTACTTTTAATAATGAGATTAGCCACATCTAAAAGTTTTAAGGTTTTGGTGATGACTTTGATGTCATCACTACAATACTAATGGCTTTAGTGGTGACTTTTATGTCATCACTAGAACTTTCATAGTTTTAGTGACAACATTGGTGTTGTTATTAAAACTTATACACTTTTAGTGATGATTGTCAAGTCGCCACTAAAACTTTCATATTTTTAGTAACTAAATAATTAATCACTACAAATAATTTAGTTTATGTCACCAAATTGGTGTTGTCTAGTGGGTTATTTTATATCGTTTGGCGAATTTCACATTATACCATATCGATATGCTATTTCTCACATCACTTCCAAACCTACAAAAAAAAAAAAAAACATAATGCACTTGTTATTTCTAGACTAAACTACACCTTAATTAAGCTTGTTAACAAAATTCTGAAACACTCTTAATACATCCAAATAGTAAAATCACATATCTATTTAATTTAACTATCAATATTCATGCCACAACCTAGCTAATATAGTGGTGTAAGACAAGTTAAAATCAATTCAAGTTAAATCAAAATTTTTAAAACTCTCAAACTGAGCTTAATTTGAAATTTTCAACTGGAGTGTCATTCATGGTTAAATTTTGAAATTGGATGATATGCAAGTAGGGGTGAAATTTGAATCAAAATCGACTTCAATTGACGTTTGATTTTGAGGTAGATAACATGGATAGAAATTCGAGTTGAAATCAAATTTAATTCAAGTTTGAATCTCAAGTTATGCAACTAGGGCGTAAATTTGATTTCAATTGGGTTGGATCCAAAAAAGTAGAGACATAAATTGATTATTGTTTGAATTTAAATTGGGTTGATAATTGTTTTGTAATGCTCCAAAATCTACCTTGGACGGCATTACTATTTAAAACCATTCACATAATGAGAGCAACTAATAAAGTCCATAAATAAGACAAATTTCATTCATCATACATAATATCTACAACATTATCCAAACGAATATGTCAAACCATGACATCTACATCCAAAAAGAATATCTCAAACTATGATAATTACATCTCAAAATCAAACTTAATCTTACAGCGGAATAAACAAAATAACATCTATCCATTGTATCAAAATGCATCTCCTAGTCTAGGACATGGAGAGATCAACTCTAGACATCCCCCTCGAAATCCACGCTTCCATCCAATTGCGCTTTCCAAGCTACTGCTCATCAATTTCGAGCTCTTCATCTAAAATGACATCTAAGAATAAGTAGTATTTGTAGGGGGGTAAGCACTAAACTCTATAGAAGAATCCTCCCAAACTTGAACAAGATTTATAAACATATAAAACAGTTCGGTCTCACTTTCCAAAATATCATATATAACTTGAAATAAAATAGTGTCAATTTATTCGATCTCAAGTTAATACAATAGTAATAAGTTAAATGAAAGGAATAAACATGTGAAGAAATCAATTAATCATTCAATAGTGTCAACCCATATTCTCATGTATGTTGATTGCTTCCCATGAATTTACATAACGAATTTATCTCGTTCACCCATCATATCCACACAAACCATTTTAGGAAGAGCGTATACCGTCTCCCATGACATTGAAGAATCCTTCCAAGGAAAGGTATACCATCTCTCAGCCTCGAACTTACGTGAACAGTAGTGGTTACTCTCACAAATAACAATCCACTACAGTGTTAGACAACCATCTCACCCTCACTGGGATAGACTAACCTCTAACATTCTTCGGCAGTTCTCGGATGCAATTCAAGTCCATCACAACAAACCATACAAGATGCAGGAGATACAATACCAACCAATTTCTCAAATCACCAGTAAATCAAAACCCCCAATTCCATAGGTATTTCTCAAATCACAAGTAATTTCAAAAATCCCCAATTTCATAGGTATTTTACCAAAATAATTTCTCAAGAAAATAAGCAAGAGATCATCAAAAGACATACTTTTATTGTTCAAAATAATGCACTAAAGTTTTTGAATCAAGAGCACAAGAATATCAAGAAGAATATTTCATCTTTCTCAAAAACTAGGTTTTGACATCAAGAACAAGGGTTTTATGGCCATCAACCATAACTTCACTCAAAATAGGGTAATAGTTGCAAGAATATCAAGAATCAAGGATTTCATAACAAATATATATGATTAAGAGTTAAAACATATGTATATATAAGCCCTAGTATCAATGAACAGGAGTGGAAATTCTTCCTTAGTGTTATTGAAAAACTTGAGATTTTGATCTACTTCATGGTTCAAATCCCTCTTGATCTTATGTTTTATACCCTTCTTTCTTGTTTCTCAAAGCTTTCTAGGGTTGTAAATGGTGTATGGAGGCCAAAGGAGGTGCCCTTATGTATTTATAGGGTGAGAAGTGGTCTCTTGTGCGCGATTCTAAAACCCAAATTTCGTATCTCATGTTCGAACGTCATTTGGCGTTCGAACGTCACTTGGCGTTCGAACGTCACTTGCTCCTTGTACTTTTGTTTTTCCATTAGAGACAAAGTATTGAACACACTGTTGTTCGAACGGACTTTCACGTTCGAACATAGGTCATTCGAATGTACTTCCTATTTCTATTGAAACTTCCAGTGGAGTTTTGGCCTATTTAGAGGTCGATTTGGAAAATTTTTGTGAAATACACTTTTGTAGCCCTATAAGTTTACTATCTGCTATAAAAATATCAGCTCAATGGACATCAGGGTAAAACGTTATGGTCCAAATACTAAGCAGTGTCTAAAATATTTTCTACCCAAATTTTATCTAAAATGTGTTTGAACTCCAGACTATTTCCTAACTTCCAATTCATACCCTAT